TGTTTTGTCTCAGGACCTGTAATACTTCACTCTAAGCTCTTCTCGATTGGATGGTTTGTGCTGAGAAGTCTGCCGTAATTGTGATGAGCCTTTCTCATCTTTATGGAGAAACAGGTAATATGTTTCTTTTCTCTAGCAGCTTTTAATATTCTGTTCTTTTGCTGGAGATCAGGGGTCTTGACTATTATATGCCTGGATGTAGTTTTATTTTGGTTATGTTTAGTTGGAGTTGTATATGCCTCATTTACCTGTATATCAGGTTCTGTTTCCATACTTGGGAAATTTTCTGCTATCATTTTTGCAAATATTCTTTTAATGTCAGTTGTGTTGCCTCCTGCTGTTTCATTGATTCCTATAAGTCGTACATTATTCCTCTTTGCCTGGTCTTGCAGCTGTTAAATTGATTTTTCCTGGATCCTTTTTGATTTTAAGAGATCCTTTCTTTCATGATTGCTAGCTGCCATGCTGTCTTCAAAATCTGAAATTCTATCTTCAACTTCATTCAAGCAGTTTTGGCAGCTTTCAATGGAAGCTTTGTTTTCCTGGAAGTCTCTTTGAATCTGGTTCATGCATTCTAAGTCCTTTCTACAATTTTCATTTAACATTGCCATCCATTGCCTTTGTTCTTCTATTTTCTTATACGTTTCTTCTTCCGACGTTTTGAGCAGTTCTTTCACTATTTTGTCATTTCATTTTTTGCCTGGGAGATTATTTCTGATCTCATCTCTTCTATGGCCTTATGGAGTTGCTTCTTTACTTCCACTGCAATCATTTCAGCAATTTCAGGCATGTGTTTACCAAGTTCTTCTATGTCGTTGTCTCCTGGACTTGCTCTGAGTGGGGAGGAGCTCTGGGATTGTGTTTTAGTCTTCCGTCTTGTCATGTTTGATACCAGATGCAGAAAGCTCAGTTTCCCTGTTCAACGGCTGCACAGCAAAGGCCGCTAGTGTCCCTAGTTTTCCTATTGGTCAGGTTTACCCCTCAGTGTCCACTGAGAAGCTCTATTTAGTCTGGGGTTTTCTGGCACTTGTCAATTTGTATCTAGTTATCCCAGGTCTCAGACACAGACACTGGTGTCAGCTGATGGCAGACTGTCTGATCCAGTGTTCCCTTGCAGTTCAGGGCATGTACACAGCCCGGATTCAGGTTGCACTGGTGTGACAATCCCGATCCAAGCAGTTCCTATGTCCCCAGGCAGTTCAGGGTACAGGCAAAACCCAGACACAAACTGCAGGGTTGACAGTTTGTGGACCACCTGATTCTGTGTCTCCAGTCAGTTCAGGACACACACAGGAACCAGATGCAGGCCAGATGGGCAGCAATCACAGACTGCCGATGCCTGCAACACCCCCTCCCAGGGGGTCCAGGCACAAATAAAGCAGGGACTTGAACCGAAGAACCAGCAGCTCTTGGAGCACTCACTCACTGGGTGCAGGGCCCATGCAGGGAGGGGCCACACCTGCCCCCCAGCTAGTGCAGTCCCTGGGGCTTCTGAGTGAGGAACTCCTGTCTGCCGCGGGTGCACAGAGGGCAGAGACTCAAACTGTAATGGTGGTAGCATCCTGGGTCACCCACTCTGCCCCCAGGAAGTACATGGGAAAGACCTGGCTCTCTCTATGAGTTCCAGCTGGGAACCATGGTGGGAGCTGGTTGCAACCTGCCTGGCTCTGCTTCTAAGTCAGTTCAGCACAGGCAGGAGCCAGATCTGGGCCACTCCCCCATCCCTTTAAAATAAGTATGGGGTGGGGAGGAGGAAGGGAAGGAAAGAAAATTAAGATGAGTTTTGTACTTGTACCAACTCCCTATGATGAAAGTAATCATTATGCACACATGTCCTAATAAAATTTTTTTTTTAAAATAAAATAAGTAAGCAGGTTTACTGTCACCATGGAAAAAGAATGCCTTAGTAAAAGAGGCAGGAGAAGGATTTATTAGAGGTAGATATATTTACACATCCAAGAGCGGAGTGGGAGTGCTCAAAGAAGGGCACATTACTGTTGAGAACTGGAAATTTTTAGTGCTTGAGGAGACTAATGTTTTAGTGTTGTGCAAAACTAAGACTAGGGATTATCAAATTCCACAGATTTCCACAATCTCTAGTCTCGGTCTTGCTTTTTAGTCTTAGTGTCAGTGGATAGGAGAGGATGGCCCACCCCTAGTGAGATAATGGTCTATTCCTGTGGGAAACCCAAAAATCTGGTCCTTTCTTGGGTGAAAGAGGACCATTACAAGTAAAACAGAATGAGCAGCTGAGAGAAAGTTGCCCACGTTTGCTGTTTTGGGAGAAGAAAAAATGTAAATAAACTGGACTTGTGTTCTGAAGCTGTAGTTTTTCTTTCCCTTTTTTTTTTTTTTTTGAACTCATGACCTCACACTTGTCAGGCAGGCGCTGCACCACTGATCTATATCCTGAGCCTGGTAGTTTTCCTTTAAAGTACAATTTTTTGGGGGCTGGGGATTTAGCTCAGCGGCAAAGTGCCTGCCTGGCAAGTGCAAGGCCGTGAGTTCGGTTCCCGGTACCGGAGAAAAACCAAAAATAAATAAATAAATAAATAAAGTACAATTTTTCTTTTTTTCTTTTTTTCTTTTTTTTTTTCTTTTGAGACAGGTTTTTACTATGCAGTTCAGGCTGGTCTTAAACTCACCTTGTAGCTCAGGCTGGCCTCAAACTCACAGTGATCCTCCTAACCAGATGAGACTTGCATCAGTGTTCAGCTTACAAATCTATTTAAAGAGAGATTTCTTGTCCAAGAAAAGATGATTGTCAGTATGGAAAAGAAAACCATTCTAGGAAGCAGACGAGGAAGACAGTGGAAATGTTTTATTGTAAAATACACTGCCACTTCTGACAACAGGAGTTGCCTTCGAGTTACTTCTTTCCCTTTCCCTTGCCTGCTCCATCGTCTCCCTTTGCTGGAGGGGCCATCATGTTCTTTCTGAGCTTCTTGCCTTTGAAGTGTTTTCTTTGAAGACATGCATCAATTAAATAAAAAACTGCAGCCAAACCCATAAAGATCTGAAAAACAAAAAGATCTTTGTGACTTTTGCTTCTCCTTCCGAAGATAGCATATTTCCCTCTTAGCCCCTAATTCATCCATGTTGCTGCTTCACGTCTCTCCTCAGCCCATGAGACTACCAGACCCAGAGAATCTGTGTGTGCTTCTCTCTCAGTTGGGCTTTCTTCACCACTACTGCCCCTCCCCCACATCTCTTTTCTTTGCTTTTTACACCCAGCCTTTGATCTAGGTTTAGCAGCTAGAAGAAGGAAGCCAGCCAACGGAGGCTGGCTCCTTGGACATCATCTTTATTTAAGTGGTTTTGCCACTAGAAACATTGGACAACTTTCTTTTTAAACTCTGCTTTGAGCAGGGCATGGTGGCACATGCCTATAATCCCAGCACTTGGGAGGCTGAAGCAGAAGGACTGCTGAATTTGAGGCCAACCTGGGCTACAAAGTGAGTTCAAGGCCAGCCTGAACTGGATAGTGAAACCCTGACTCAAAAAGACAAAAATAAATAATTTTTTAAAAGAACCTTTACTTTGGACCTAAGATATTTCTACAAATGAGCCAGAAGAGGTGAATTCAGAGCAAATCCACAGCCTGAAGGCCAAAGACTCACCACAGCAAGTAGGTAGTTTAGTGGCATGTTTGGTTGCTTCTCCACAGCAAAATATGCACCTCCTCCAAGGAACGCACAAGCAACCAAGTCATTGAGAAGATCCTGAAAATGGTGGAGATGCATGAGTTGTAGAAAGTCAAGCCCCCATCAACACACCATGCAGCATAGCTTCCTCCAAAGGTACAGATTCCAAACTTCTGCCTGATGTTTAACATATATATGTCTCTGAATGGGGGGGTGCTAGGATGTCCTCCCAAAGAGGAGATGAGTATCCCAACTTTCCCTGTGGAATAGGTTCTTGATTCATCTTCACAGAAAAGCATTTCAGAATGTGACAGTGTGAGGCATAGACAGTTTTATTGCACAGAGTTAGAAAGTTATGCTTCTCTTACATACTGTAAGAGAAAATAGGGAAGGAGGAGCCAAGGGAAGCATAGCTCTGATGAGGATTACACTGGCTCCTTAACAAAGGGACAGGACCAGCTTTTAAGGAGTTGGGCTTTGCTAGGGTCTGGTTGATCATTATCTCAGTTCTGGTTTTACAAGATTACAAGATGGCTGGGAAGAAGTTCATATTATTATAGATAGTTAAGTTAATTAGAAATATTATAGGCAGTCAGGGCTGAGTCCTTGAAAAGTCAGTGCAGAAGACAACTATGGCAGGAGGCACATTTAATGAAGGCCAGGCTTCAAGGAAAAGAGGGACTACTCACCCATGTACTTCCCTTGGGGTGGAGAACTAAATCACCTTGCGGTGGAGGACCAAACCTCCTTAGCCCACCCCTTCCAGGAAAGTCCTTGTCCCTCCTGTGTGCTTGCTATGTGACTTGCTTCCCCATTTGAGCCCCATTTAATCAATATTACCTAAGCAGTTATGCTTGTAATCTTATTGGTTGAGCATAGTTTTATCCCACCTCACACCCACCCTGTGATTTTTTCAATTGGGTCAATATTACCTAAGCAACTACTTATAATCTTATTGATTACAATTCTGTCGTACCTTGAACTTACTTCACCTCATGGTTTTGCTCAATAAACCCCCTTGAGAAGTGGGGTTGGTGGGCAACCCACTTTCCACGTCCCCTTCTGTCCCTCTTAGACAGAAGATTTCTTTCTCTCAATAAATTCTCCCTACTCTTAGCCTCTGTTGTTCCTAGAATCGATTCCTTGATTTTAGAGAATGCTTATGTAGTGTTTCAAATACTAGCCGGTGGGGAGTTTTTTCCCCCAATCTTTTATATTTATATTTGCCTTTTATATTTTGGGGCTGTATTTTTAGATGCTGTACTGGTTAGCATTCTAGCTGCTGGGACAACATGCCTGACACCTGAAACTTAAAGGAGAGGTTTATTTTGGCTCATGGCTTCAGAGGTTTCAGTCCATGGTAGACTGGCTCCAAGGCAGAAACATCATAGCAGAAGTGTGTGGCAGAGGAAGGCTGCTTAGTTCCTGGTACCCGGGAAGCAGAGAGCAGGGGGAAAAGTTTAGAAGATGAAGCCAAGAAGCAGACAAAGACCCCAAGGTGACCCATGACCTATATCCTCCAGTTAGGCACTACCTCTTAATAAACAGTGGGCTAACCCATTAATGAGGTCAGTGTCCTTATTATTCACCTCTCAAGAAGTCTCTTCATGCAGTCAAGTTTAACTAGCAAGTTTAACAATCAAGATTAATTGGCATAGGTGCATACATGTTCAGAATTGCTATATGCTGTAATCATCTCTATTTTTTAACTTTTTAAATTTTATTAGAACATGTTTATAGTACATGCAGTTTACAGCCACCTTGGGGAGTGGGTACATGGACATACTAGAACATCTTTCTTTTCTTTAGATTCCCTTCTGCTTTTCTCTCCCTTCCTCCCTTCTCCTCGAATTCCCTTATCCTGAGTTTAATTTTTGTTGATATTATTAATCTTAGCTCATGTTCTGGCATATAATGTTTACATTCATTGAGGCTATTAGGTTTTTATACATGGGATATCTTTATTCTACTCATTTCCCTTTGTTCTCCTCTTTACCCCTTACCCTTGTTCCCTTGGAACCCCTTCCCTGTTGCAAGAGATCCATCCCCTTGTCCCCTTCTATCCATCCTTTATTTTCTTTGTTTGTACTTTGCCTAACAAAATGAGAGATGTCCTATGGTATTTTAAGCTTCTGTGTCTGGTTTATTTCATTCAATATTATGTTTTCCAGGTGCATCCATTTTCCTACAAATGTCTCAAATATGTCATTCCTATTTTTCTTGTTTTAGTATTTTTTCTTCTCTCATTCTTTTTACCTTTCCCTTCTTTCTTTGCCCCCTACCCCCTCTCTTGTTCTTCTCCCCATTTGAACATTTTATTCCTATTTTACAACACCTATTACACAATACCTATTAAACGTATCATTCTTTATAGCCAAATAGTACTCCATTATACATAGATACCACTTTTCTTTATCCAGTTGTCTGTTGATTGTATACGGGCTGCTTCTAGGATTTAGCTATTACAAATTGTGTTGTTCTAAACATTTGTATGAATGCATCACTGCAATAGGATGTCTTAAGCTCTTTGGGAAGAGACCTGAGGAGACCCTGAGCTTTCATTTCTAGATGACCGTTAGGCTTCTGGCAAGCAGAAAGTCAAAATTAAGATGTAGTTAAAAACAGCCTGACTAGGTGTTCAAAGAGTACCGCAACACGGGGACAGTTCAGAGTTGTTGTTTAAAATTCATTTGCATTCTGGCACTTAAGGAAATCTTTGTCAGATCAATAGCTGATCATCAAGCTAATGAAACAGTGATTTTAGTGGTCACATGAGAAAAGTCTCTCCAAATACAGAAAGAATGGCAAATGATAACAAATGCTCTTTGGGGAAGATACCTAGAAGAAGGACAGCTGGGGCACATGGCATTTCTAATTTCAGCCTTTTGAGAAATTGTCATTCTGATTTCCATCATAGTTGTTCTAGTGTACATTCCCATACATGGTGCAGGAGGGTTTCTTTTTCACTACAGCCATGCCAGCATTTGTTATCATTTGCCGTTCTTTCCGAAGTAAGATGGAATCTTAGCATTCTTTTAATTTGTATTTCTCCAATGGCCGGAAATGTTGAACATTTTTTCATGTATTTGTTTACCATTTGTACTTCTTCCTCTGTGAAGTATCTGTTCATTTCTTTTGTCCATTTCTTGACTGGGACTTTAACTTTAGGTGATTTAATTTTTGAGTACTTCATATATTCCAGCTATTAATTCTCTCTCTAAGGAGTAGTCATCAAAATTTTTTTCCCATTATGTAGGATGTAGGTTATCTCTTCACTTTGCTAATTGATTCTTTTGCTGTACAGAAGCTTCTCAGTCAGATATAATCCCATGTATTAATTCTTGCTATTATTTCTTGTCAGTTGAGGTTCTGTCTAGAAAATCCTTTCCTACATCTATGTTGTCAAGTGTTTTACCTATTTTATCTTCCAGTGGGTTTAATGTTTCTGATCTTTGATCCATTTTGGTTTTAATCTTCTTTATATCCTTCTGGCGGGGTGGTACTAGGAATTGAACTCAGGGTGTTCTTACTAAGTTACATCTCCAGCCCTTTTTATTTTATTTTATTTTATTTTATTTTATTTTATTTTTTATTTTGAGACAGGGTTTTGCCAGTCATTAAGTTGCTTAGGCTGGGCTTAAACTTTCGATCCTCCTGCCCCCAAGTGCTTGGATGATAGATGTGGGCCACCATGGCCAGCTATATTTTTAAATATATACAATTGGGTTAGTCTCATATTAAAGCTATGCCAAAAAAAAAAAAACAAAAAACAAAAAACAAAAACAAAAAACAAACAGGGGCTGGGGATTTAGCTCAGCGGCAAAAGCGCCTGCCTGGCAAGCGCAAGGTCGTGAGTTCGGTTCCCGGTACCCGAAAAAAAAAAAAAAAAAAAAAAAGCTATGCCAGCTTTCTTTTAGTTAATATTGTCTTATTTTTTTCCATCCCTTATAGCTTTTATGTGTTCTTGAATTATTCTTATGGTTTTCTTTAGTTTATGAGCATTTTAAAGACAGCTGACTTATAGCCTTTTTTCCCAGTAAGTCTGTATCTGGACTTCCTCAGGACTGGTTTCTGCAAATTTCTTGTCTTTTTCCTGTGTATGGGCTGTACTGGCTTGTTTCTTTGCATGTCATGTAATTCTGTTTGAAGACCAAATATTTTTCATCTTACAATGTAGTCAATTTGGAAATTGGATTCTTTCTCCTTCCCAGAGTGTGTTGTTGAGAGTTGAACCCAACTGTATTTTTCATGACTTTTCTAAACGTTTTTGGAGAGACTTTTCTCATGTGACCACTAAAATCACTGTTTCATTAGCTTGATGATCAGCTACTGATCTGACAAAGATTTTCTTAAGTGCCAGAATGCAAATGAATTTTAAACAACAACTCTGAACTGTCCCTGTGTTGCGGAACTCTTTGAACACCTAGTCAGGCTGTTTTTAACTACATCTTAATTTTGACTTTCTGCTTGCCAGAAGCCTAACGGTCATCTAGAAATGAAAGCTCAGGTCTCCTCAGGTCTTTTCTGAGTGTGTGTGCCCTGGATTCCCCAGTATATATGAGAAATATTTCAAGGCCTCTCTTTCCCTACGTGCCTCCTTTCCCTGCCACTTCTTCTCTGGATTTTCTGGCCTATTGCTTGCATTACCTTTTGCTCCAGGTGGCTGAGATAGTGTATTTCCCTTCAAATACTTTCCATAAATGCTACCAGGTAGACTTCATCTCTGACAATGTTCTGAGGTAGGTGGGGCAACAGCAAATTCCTACACAAATCTGTGGTAGCCACCAGACAGGTCAAAACAAATACAGAGCCAGAATTCTTTGAGATACTGTATTGTTCTCTCTGGCACCACCAAGCTTCTTCATGAATGTGGGCTGCTGTCTTCATCGCTGGTGCCCAACTGGGCATGAGAGATGGGAGGTGGACTTTAGAATGCACAATACTCTCTCAGAACATTCAGCAGCTTCTTTTTTTCATTTAGCATTCCCCCACTGAAAGATTTTTAAAAACACAAAAACATACAGATTTCAGAGTCCTGCAAAACTTGTTCTGACATTTTTTGCCCATATAATTATTGCTATGTACAGAGACATAATTTTTGAGTTTCCTACTCTGCCACATTCAGTGATATCATTTTCATTAAATCTAGAAAGTTCTTGATTGTTATCACTTTTAATATTTCCTCTTCTTTATTCGCTTAAGGCTTTTTTTCCCTCAGTACTGGGGATTGAACTTAGTACCTCTGCATTGAGCTACATTCTTAGCTTTAAAAAAACCTTTTATTTAGATAGGGTCTTGTTAAACTGCCCAGGCTGGGCTCAAACTTGCAATCCTGCTGCTAAGATCTGGACAACTCTTGAGCATTCTTATTTCATATTCTATGTTTCACTCTCTCTCACAACTTCTTACTTAGGACTATTTTCTGACAATTTCTCTATACTTTTCAGTTCACTAAGTCTCTCTTCAACTATGTTTGATCTACTTTTAAATTCATCTGTTAACATTTTTATTTCAATAACTATATTTTCTATTTTAAGATACTTTTAATAATGTCTATTCTGTCCTCCAAGGGTCTTATTCTTAGAGCTTGTATTTATGTCTATAATAATTTTTAAAATATTTATTGTTGTTTTCTCATCTTTTCAGCTCTCCTATTATCTGACGCTTAGGGTTCTAATCTTTCCATTTGTTATGTTTGTTGATTTTTCATACTTAGCCTTGGTTTTCTTTTTTTATAATTCAAGCATATCCTTGTGAATTGAGTCCATTTTTGACAACTGTCCCTCCCTGTGAGAATCTCTTTATGTTTTGGCCATGGTTTTGTATATGTCTCTTTTAGGGCTCCCAAGGATATCATCGAGATATCAGATATCAATTTTATTCTCATTCCAAGCAGTGATGGTTTCTAGGCTACAGGGACCAAAAATTCAAATTCCAATTCTACACAAAGGGCAGGCTTAAGGTTTCTGTTTCCCAAAGGAGACCCATCCCCCCTACTAGAGCTCTGGCAGAGATGATTGTGTTTCCTTGTCTTCTGTTTTGGTGTAAAGTGTGTGTCTTCTCGGTCCCTCTTTTCTGTAAGAGTGCTGTCTTCCCAGGGTGCTAGATTTATGGAGTTTTCTGTTCTAAACCCCTACTTGGCTTGAGATCAAAGCTTCATCTCCTGCTTGAGAGTGTATGAAAGCCCACCCTCCAGATTCCTGAGACAATACCTCAGAGATCATTCTCACCCGCGCCTCACAATGTATGCAGTCACAGCTCCTGTTTCCTGTTTCTATGCTTTTCCCTTTCTTATTTTGCCCCTCAACCATCCAGTTAATCAATTAAAACAACATTGGTTACATTTCCCTCAGTACAGTACAGTACAGTAGGAGGCTTCCAGGGTTCCATGGTTTTTCATCTGGTTGGAACTAAAAGTATCTTCTCAGACTCCTGCCTGGGAAATTGGTTCCTGCCTGTCCTTGTACCTTGTCCTCTACTTCTCTGTTTTCTAAGAGTCCCAAGTCCTCATCCAGCCCCACTTCTCATATTTTTCTGTTCTGAAATTCCTCTTTTACCCTACGAGGATAGCTTTTGTTTTGTTTTGTTTTGTTTTGCTTTGTGTTTTGAGACAGGGTCTCACTATGCAGTTCAGGATGGCCTTCAACTCACTGTGTAGCACAGGCTGGCCTCAAACTCACAACGATTCTTCTGCCTCTGCCTCTGGAGTGCTGGGATTACAAGCATGTGCCACCATGCCCAGCTATAAGGATAGCTTTTAACAAAGAGGCAGGACAGGTGGAATGAAAAGTGTAGCCTGTACTGGTGAACCTTTTTTCTGGTGCTAACTAGCTGAATGACCTGGGGGCAAATTACTTGGCAATTCTGAGTTCATTTTCTCAAGTGTAAAGTGAGTGGAATTGGAAGTAGAGGGCTTTGAAGGCAGGCTGTGAATATGCAATGAACAAGGGGATCTGGGGCTTGGGGTTTTGTCAGTTGGCTGGGAGGTAAGTTGGATGTGCTCTGTGATTACACAAATGATGCGCAAGGATTAGAATACATCAATCCTACGACACAATGTCAAAAACTTTACATTTAATCAATCTCCCAAGGGACTATTACTGTCCTCTTGCTCAGATGAGGAAACAGAGGCTGACAGGCTGGGTAACTTGCCTAGTTCTGTTCCATTTTGTGTAGGACTGCTTCAGGCTGATTTATGCTTCTGAATCAAGCATCCTTTATAGGATATTTATTGGAGGCCTAAAGCTAAGAGATGAGTTTTAAAAAATTCTCATTTGTCTTACTAATTTAAGAGACTCATTTTCTTTGAATTCTGGAATGATTTCCCCAGCATGTGCTGGCAGAGAGTAGGAAGAACAGCTGGTTGTTACACCCCTCTCCTCCCTCCAAGGACAGCAAAGCCTTGGACCCTCTTACACAATAAAAGACTAGCCCACCAGGGAGAGCCCTCGCCTCCCACGCGCAGCTAATTTTTTGGGAGCATTTTTCCTCACAGGTCCCCCTCCACTTCCCAGCTGCCCTGCTTGGGTCCCATCTGAACCCTGAGTGCAAAGTACGGGAGGAGAGACTGTTTCTCTACGCATTCGCTCTCCTGGTGCCAAGCCATGTGAACAGCACACCAGGGTTATTCCCCAGGACCCTCACTTACAGTAACAGGCCACAGGATGAAGGGCAAGTATCTTTGGATGGCAAAGGTGTACAGGATAATTAAGAAGCACAAGATGGATATCTCCATGGTGAGGATGAGCGCCAAGAAGGGGTGCACCTTGGGGACTGACTGGAACAGGAGCTGTGCTGTAATCATGCAGCCCTGCATAGAAACATACTCCTCAGGCCCTCTGTGGACCTTGGGAATCCCTCGGGGACACCTTCTGCCCAGCCTGACTCCCTCTCCCCAAGGAATACCAGCCCAGCTCACCAAACTCAGGAACTTGACCAAGCCGTGCCAAAGGACCCAGAACTCTTTATTGCTGTCTTTGAGTTCCCACCGGTAGCGGCGGCACCCCTTCCTTGTGCCCACTTCATCGCTGGGCTGATTACCTTCCCCGGGTGCAGATGATGCCTTATCAGCCATTGGTGGCCTGAGTCCTCAGCTTCTCACGGCCTGCGGTCTCTGGACAGGTCTGGCATACGAGTAAGCCTGATGTCTACCGACCTGTTCAGAGACCGAGTTCAACTAACCGCCGGGGTGGCCAATGCCAACGCCTGCGCGCTCTCAGCGCATGCGCAGGTCTCGCCGCTTAGCCCCGCGTGGGTCGTCTCCGCGCATCCTGGCGCAGACCTGTTCGCTGTCCACTCAGAGCTTTCAACCTCGGTGCGGTGCACAGCTCCCCGTCTGGTCCTAGCTCTGCCTTACAAGTTAGCCCTAGGCCTGTGCTGCCCGCTCCCAGGTTGGGTCGGGTTGGCAGGTCCATGCTCTTGGAAGGGCAATGCGAGCTCATACAAGGGAACACAAGTGAGCAGAAATGTTCACTACTCGACAGCCCTGATTTTATGGCCACACTTATTCCAGAGTGAGTGACAGCGTGCGAGCTCAGGCATGGCGCTAGGCAGCTGGCACACGGACTTGGGCATCCACGAGGGTTCCAGGGTGGCTTTGGGGCCTCAATGCTTAGTTTCCATTCCCAGGCTCCTTTCTTGTGAGTCCTCATCTTCTTAGTGATCACCGACGCATCGATGAAACACAGCACTGCAGCTAAGAGACACAAAGCTACACGCTCAGCAGCTGAGCAGCCTCCTCGCTTCCGTCCCCACCCCTGGCCCGGCAGGTGCTGTGGAGGAGGCCCCTGGCCCTTGGCCCCTGGACAGGTCTGGCATAACCGTCTACTGCCCTCTTGTCCCATTTCGCTGCTTTGGCAGGGCCTTCAAGCATCAGGAAAGGTCCTCCGGAAGTACGGTCCTTTTAGGCTCCCAGCTTTGGTGGGGTCCTGAAAAGGCTTCTTAGTTGGGAGGACCTCAGGCTGGGTTTGCAAGGGCCGGAAAGCCTGCCTGAGGGGATCCATCAGGGAGGTGGAGAAGCCCAGATACTGGACTGGAGCTCTGAGAAATCCTGTGAGCCCGAGGCTTTGGAGTGATTGAGAGGGGACAGTGTTCTGGTTGTGGGTGGGGGTGCTGGGTCTGTCACTATCGAAAGAGGAGAGGAGCGCTGATGTGGTAGTCAATTGCAGCATAAGCAAGTGCCTGGATTCCATTCCCAGCACAGAAGACAAACTCCGTCAAACACAAACAAAAAAGGAAGAAGAGAGGACAGATTTCAGATTCAGAGAACTCATCTGCGGTGGCCAGATGGTGGGTGGAAAGTGAACTAGCTGGAGGCAGGAAAGACCGTGGGGGCCTGAGGGCTTGGGGGCCTGAGGGCTTGTGGTCCAGCAGGAACTCATGGACCTGGGGGCAGAAAGCCCTGGAAGAACAATGCTTGGTTGCTAGGTGAGCAGATATGAACCAGGGGTGACAGCACCTGATATTTCAGGCTTGCATGTTTTTCTCTGTGATCACTTAATTGCTGGCTGCTTAATGAACTTTTCCCAGCTAAGATCTTGCCACAGCTAGTATGAACGTACCCTGCAGAGGAAAAGGGCTCTGTCCCCAGCCCTGAGCCAAAACTTAGCACAATCCAGTGGGAGTGACAAATATTTACTGATTATGGAATGAATTCGAAGAATTTAAACTCTTTATTTTGCTGGATTAATTTCTGTCCCATTGTGTAACTTCTTGAACCAAGGTCTGACCCCCTCCTCCATAGTCCAAGCATTTGATCTGCAGTTTCTGGTGTTCCGTGGGTTTCAGTCGCAGTTAGTTCCAGCCTTGTGCCCAGGCAAAAGTTTTTTTTTTTTTTTTTGGTTCTTCTCCGGTACGGGGAACCAAACTCATGACCTTGCGCTTGCCAGGCAGGTGCTTTGCCGCTGAGCTAAATCCCCAGCCCCCCAGGCAAAAGTATTTAACCTCGGTTCCTATATCTATAAAAATGAGAATTGTAAAGATGAAGTCAGAGCATGCCCACTGGGCGCTTCAACTAAAGCAGGCTTCCTGCCTCCTTCCTGAATAGTCTGACTTCCTTCCTTCTGACAATGCACTTAAAAAGCAAAACAAAAACCTGACAACATCTCTTTTCTTCTGTCTTTAAAATTCTGTAGCCCAGAAAAGTCAGTCCTATTGGTAGGCAAAAATATTTTGTTGAATATTCCAAAAATAGTGTGTATGATTCTCAGGAGTTCTGCAGACTTTTGTTTTTTCTTTCTATTTAGAGAATTACAATTGTGATTTTCACAAACTTAGAATTTATATAACTTCACGTCATCTGAATAAATCATTGCAGAAAAGAGAAAAGGTGGCAGTGGGGATTTCCTTCTGTTAATGACAGTGATGGTCTGCCAGTCTCTTTCTTCAGTGTCTTACAATACTGATCTGAAATGAGGTCACAGATGCTTCTACTTAACCTCCAACACAGAATAAATGTCTTTTTTCCTTTTCTGTCATTGCCTGGGCAGCAACCACTAAAAGAAATGTAGCTGAAATGAAACTGTTGATAAGGTCTTGTAATACAGAGTTGAACATTGTCAACTTTAGATAAAAATGTAATTTTATAAAATATTTAAACTGGTCAACTACTTATCTAAGCATGGCTACATTTTAAACACTTTTGTACATTTTCCAGAGACATGAATTTATGTGTTTTTTTTTTTTTAGGGTCTTGAATAGGACTTTGTTTGCAGAAATGGGTTCAATTTCACTAGAACACCATTCTTAAAAAGCCCATTTTTCTGTCTACCTTTCCCTAAAGGACATAAGAAAGTGTTACGGCTCATATCTAGATGTTCCCCCAAAGCTTCATAGGGTCCTAGGTAGGGCTTTGCAGAGGTGGGTGAATCTAGAGTCTGTGATACTGGGATTAAGGGTGTGATGCTGGGATTGATTCATGTTGTGATGCTAAGAATAAGGTTAGCATCCTTAATCTAGGGTGGGTATTCTGGATGGGATATAAAGGACAGAAAGAGATCTGTTGCTTGCCAGTTGTCACTTGCTGCTTTAGTTCTTCACTATTTTGCAATACCCCTTTGCCATGCCACTCTGCCTTGGAGCGAGCCAACTGTGGACTAAAACCTCTACAAACTGAGTCAAATAAACCTTTCCTCCTTTAACTTTGGGTGGTGGGTATTTTGTTTCAGCAAAGAGAAAAGTAACTAAGACAAAACTGAGCTTGAAAAAACGTAGTGGTGTAGGGGCTCCCCCACATTGGCCCATGACTTTTTTGAAGTCTTAAATTTTAAATTAATGGAAATTCTGCACTGTATTCCAGAACACATTTGTCTTAATGCAAAAACAATTTGAGGTGGGTAAAATTTTAGATTAGCACTTAATTCTGATTAAGATTACTGACTTAATTCCACTCCTAAATCTGTAAGTAAAACCAATGTTTGGGAAGTTTGGTTACATTTATGCTGAGTTCATGTGTCCCAAGGATGCATGAACTCATCTGAGGAGCAGGTCTGATTTTCTGCAGTGAATGGCTATGCTGTTGAGTTTTGTTTTTTACCAGGATATGGCCACAATTAAGTCTCCTCTAACATCTCCAGTTTTTTTATGTTCTTTGTTGTGGATTTCAGTTCTGGGTTCTTTAACTGCTAGCTCAGCCTGCTTCTTTGTGCACTGAAATAAAGGGTAAAGATGAGTGGGTGGGGGCTCCCCTCTGAGTGAGCAGAGGCCAGGCTTGCTGGCAGAGCAATAATGGTGCTAATGCTTGCACAGGGGGAAAAAGCCTGGGGTAACAGAATCACGATATGGCCCACATACCTACTTTGAACAAGTTTCATCTGCGCAACTTCGTGAGATTTTGTCTCAAAATAAAAAATGAAAAAGGGCTGGAGATGTAGCTCAGTGCAAAGGCCCTCAGTACAACAACCTATCCCCCCCCCCCCAAAGTGTACGCACAGTAAATTTTCACAAGCTCGGGCAGGGTGGTAAATGTGGTTCTTCCTATTGAGGTTGGTGAGCAAGGAGCCACTGGAGTGTGACTTGCCTGAGAAAGCAGTAATGTCTACTGCTTTGGCACCTGGTGGCTAACACTGGAATGGGGATGTGGAGTAGGGGGATTAGGGTTGGAAGTAAGTCCCAGTTACATTTTGCAGGATGAGCAAGAGGTCTGTCTATAGCAGGCAGACCTGACACAGGCAGACCCGATGCAGGCATGGTGGTCTGCAGCTTTGCAGGAAGCTTAGCACTTGAGTATCATGTAAACCCAAATATTCAAAGTTGTGACTTTTATAACGAAGGAGCAGAGTGTAAGCTTTTAAGCATTAGCTGTGGTCCTAGATCATTGAGAATGTGGGTGCAAACATTAATAATGATGCAATAATAATAAACTAAGCACAGACTAGGCCCACTAATTGCTTACTCCCTGTCATGATTTTATTTCCTCATTAAATCACTGGACATAATACTTTACTTCTGATCATGCACAAGCATTCTCTTCCCTTGGAGCTAAGGTTTGCCTTGTGCCTTTCTACTGTAGCCCACATGTATTGAGCACTTACTTTGTGTTATGTACTGTGCTGAGGTGGTGAGATATGCTGTGATTCTCACAACAGACTCATTATCTCCAATTTACAGTGGGGCGAGCAACTCGCCTAAGGATTTCTCTGTTAGGATGTGTGGAGCCACTTGGCAGTCTGACTTGCGTGCCCAAGGCCTTCTTGATCATCTTCCTTTTGCCCTAGACACAAACCCTTTTACTGACTCATCTGGACAAATGGAGAAATATGTTCTTCCCAGTAGCTGAGCTAAAATTGCAATTGAGCCTGGCTACAATGAAATAAAACTTCTGCTTTCCTGTGAATGTCATTCTTACTCACTACCTTTGTAAGGGTCAGAGACACTCGCCGCGTGAAGGAAGACTCCAAGAGACGTTCTCTCATGCAAAAAGCAAGGGGATTTTATTCACCAAGCATGCATGGGGCTCACTGAGCTCGCAGGAACAGAGAGCCCCGAGCCAGGTTAACTCTGGCTTTTTAACTTGAAAAACTACAAAGGAGTGGGGGGCGGGCAGCAAGCGTCATTACAGAAGCAGATAGCATTGGTTAATTCATTTTGTTCTTTACATTTATTGGGTCCCTATGATGTAGAGTGTGTAGGAATGCGGAGGTTTTCCGCTCATGGGCAAGGGGAGGGGAGGGTACTCTGTGTCAACACCAGGTGTTCTTTCTTCCAAGGGACAGGAGATAATGTTCTGGCCCTCCTG